TTCCTCCCACGATTCTCACCATTACACTTCTGAAGGACAACTTCAACAGACGTCTAAGATTCTTTTACGCTCGTGGTGAAGGGTCACCAGGCGATGGATGCGATGGGGGCTCACCTTCAGAGCTCCTTTGATGTGTGTCTTGCGACTCCATGCACTGCTGGTTCAAGCTTCTTCCCCTGCCACCCTTCACCACCCTTCACCACCCTTCACCATCCTTCCGCACCCTGCTATCTCTCCTTAAATGTGCGTCTTGCGACTCCATGCACTGCCGGTTTCTTCTGCCATCCTTCCATGGACTGCTGGTTTCCCCTACCATCCCTACATGCACTGCTGGTTTCCCCTGCCATCCTTCCATACACTGCTGACTTCCCTTGCCATCTTTCCATGCACTGCTGGTTTTCCCTGCGATCCTTCCATGCACTGCTAGTTTCTCCGGCCATTCTTCTATGCACTGCTTGTTTCCCCTGCCATCCTTCCATGCACTGTTGGTTTCCCTTGTCATCCTTCCATGCACTTCTGGTTTCCCCTGTCATCCATCCACACACTGTTGGTTTACCCTGCCATCCTTCCATGCACTGCCGATTTCCCCTACCATCCTTCCACCACCCTTACACCACCCGTTCGCACCCTGCCATCCTTCCACCATCCTTCCACCACCTTTCCACCACCCTTCCTCCACCCTTCACCCACCCTTCCACCACCCTTCCACCACCCTTCTACCACCCTTCTGCCACCCTTCCACCCTCTTTCCACCAATGCGTTACACACCCTTCCACTTGACTTGTCGGCTCTCTTTCATCTCGCTCTCGTCTCGCTTCAATATCTTCTTACCGTCACTCACTCGTCTCACCCCTATCGCTCACTGTTTTTTTCATCCATCGCCCTCTCCTCCCACTTCCCATCACCCTTCCTCTCCTGCCATCCTATCGCCCTCCCCTCCTCTTCTCTTTAATAGAAATGGAGCTGAACTTATTGATTAGAATAGAAGGCACTAGGTCTTAAGTACAAACAAGGTTGGGTTGAGCAAAGCTAGCGAAAGGATAGGAATCCAAGCAAATCTCCAATGTTGAGTTGGCAGATTTGTTGGATTACGGAAGAATCCCAACCAGATAGGGTTGGGATTACAATTTTACACCCAACCCAAAGATAACATACAGCATATAAAATAGAGCTCACAAAGTGTTGACAGCCTAATTCTAACACTCTTATCGTCCTCTCCTCCCACTTCCCATGGCGGAGATAAACTCTACAATGGGAGCTAGACTACAGGGGAAGGCACGGTTGTGTGAGTGATCGTAGCGTTCCTTGGTGTTCTCTAGCACTTGTGCGTTCACAGGGCAAAACCGCGCAAGAGTTACAGTAGCAAAAGTTGAGAACAATAGTTGCAACAACATTGGGAAAGCTGACTACATCAGAAGCATGTCTGCCTAGCATGCAAGAAGGTCGACTTCCAGCGCAGCAAGGTCGACAGCGTTCCAGCACTGCATAGTCCGCATTGCTCCAGCGCTGCAGAAAGGAGGCTTGCCAACGCTGCAAGTCGACGGCGTGCCAACGCTGCAGCACGGCGGCTGTCCAACGTAGCACCCGCAATGACAGCAGCGCGCCTACTTCGCAGGTGCGTGTAGTTGGTTGGCGTGCTGTGCTTCGTCACGTGCATAGCGCATACGCCAAGTCGACCACATGCCGTTGACAGTGCCCGATGAGCCATGTCGACCTCGGGATACCACTTTAATGACGGCTTCGCCAAAACCACCTGAGCGACAATCGCGCACCCCCGCAGAACCTCGTCGCCGTGGTTACTTGGTCGACATGGACAAGACACGGTCGCATTGACTTGCGCGGTAGATGTCGACCAGCTGTTGTACGTGCTCATCGACCACCCAAGTCAACGACCACCAGCCGACTTCACCAAGTCGGCCACTCCCCAAGTCGACCACTCCAGGTCGACCAGACCAGCTATCCGCCGACTGCACCCAGTCGGCTTCCTCAGGTCGGCGCCGTCAAGTCGGCGCCCCACCCAGGTCGACGAGCCCCTTTATCGACCACCATCTAGAGGTCGAACGCAGGCTTCCTGTCGTCGGTGGCTTCACAGTGGCCCTGTGCAGGTCGACCAAGCCTGTAGACTTGTTCGCCCAAGTCGGCGTCGCCCATTGCAGTCGGTCGGTTGCACCTCCCGCACACCCGACCACGAAGTTGGCTCCGCCCAAGCAAGGACAAGGTCAACATCCAACTCCCATTGAAACCCATCACCTTTCCTCTCCTGCCATCCTATCGCCTTGCCATCCTCCCTTGTTTGCCATCCTCCTTTGTGTGCCATCCTCCCTACATGTTCCGGTACACGGTTAATGAGAACTCTCATTCTCTCTTCGCACACATGCTCGCCTGCTCACCTTTCCATGCAACCATTTACATGCGCCCTTCCCTTTGGCTCTACCTGTTTTCACCTGTGCACAGAACACCTTGTGGCCTCTACATGCCTCTCCTTCTACTTGGCTAATTTCTCCCCAAGTGCTCATCTTTTCGCTTATCCCTTGCAACCATGCCTGTTTCCACTTGTGCATAAAATACGTGGTGCTTATGTCCTTCACATACCTCTTCCTATGAAACGTCATCCCTTGTGAGGTTTTGTTTTGTTTTGTCTTGTTTTGTTTTTTAACAAATTACTGGCACTGATGTTTCCTGAGTTTTTTGCTTGAGCACCTCTTTCTTTCGGAATGGGTTCTCCAAGCAAGTGATACCTGACACATTGCTTTTTTAATAACGTCATGCTGTGCTTTGTTTCCACTCAACCCACCCTCTCTCATTAACCCCAAGCAGTCCCCTCTGCCTCTGCCCCAATGCCTAACCGGTCAGCAGCTGCTATGGTTGCTGGCTTTCATTCGATATCAATTCCCCTTCGAACCCCTGAAACACCCCAAAAAGGCAACCCCTTCTCTCTCTTGTATTCCCTCATCCCCCTACATCTTCCCCCTCCTTCCCTCCGTTGCAACCACTTCCTCCTCCCCCTAATGCCAGTCATCACAGCCAAATCAGCTCTGATCGCTCGCTCGCTTGTCATGTTGCTTCCCTTCTTGTCTCCCCCGAACAACCCCACAACACAAAACCCCCAAACCCATTCCTTCCCCCACTCTATCTTCATCCCACTCCCTCCTTTGCAGTCTCCTACTGCTTCCCCCTATCGCCAGTCATCGCTACAACCCCAGATGTGGTCGCTGTCTCAATTGACAACCCCTCCCCCTCCCAACCTTCCAAGTCCCCCCATTCCCCCTTCCCTCTCCCCCCCTCTCCTGTAGCCTCCTCCTCCTCCCCACTCTCGCTAGTCTTCTCAGTCACGTTAGCTATGGTAGCTAGCTTAGTGCTCTTGGTGGCCTGGGCGACTTGTGGCGAGCTGTGGCGAGATTTATGCGAGTCTGCCTTGTATCTTTCGGGCGACGAAATCAGGGCGATAGCTGCGCGAGAACTGCAAATTTCGTAGGTTCAAGTAACTGCTGCAACTCGGTTGGGTTGGGTCTGGTCAACCTAGTCGACCCGTCCAGATCGACCCGGGTCTGGCAGACCCGACCCGACCTGGTTGGGTCGACCTGGTCGGTAGACCCGCGACGCAGCCTTCCTAGAAATGAAGGGGGGTGGTCGACCCAATCCGTGTGGATCGCAACACGTCGTTACCGCTCCACCGTACAGCACCGCAACAAAAGCTTAGGTGTCTCTTGTTTAGAACTTACTGTTGGACCTTGAAATCTAGGGTGCGTGAAACACTGGCGCTGTTCGCCAGCACATGCAAAATTGAAAAAAAAAAAAAATGACGGCATCGGACTGGCCACGACATCGGGAAGCGGGGCCGGAACCCTCCGAAGAGGTTTGGGCGAAATGCCACTCGCGAAATTTCCCGCCCCGAAATGGGAAACGTGGCAAATGCATTTGGAGCCTGCGTCCCACCTTCCCCTGACAGCCAATGACATCGCCATCCCCCGGCAGTCCACCGTGAAATGGTGGATTGCCATGGGATGGCATTAGACGGGAGGTTTGCCAGGGCTGGAAATTACTTCCCCATTTCCGAATGCCGTTCGAATGCCGTCATGCCGTCCGAAATTTGAGAAAAGTGAGAGCGTTCGCCAGGCACCAAAGATTCCATTTGGTCGGACGGCATCTTAGCTTCGGCAGGAATTTTACGGGCTGACCAGCCTGACGGAGGTTAACGAACCCTAACTGACGGGATCAGGAAGGCGAGACTGACCTTCCTGATCCCGTCACATCTCGTAGTTTTTGCAATCAAGGGTGCTGGCGAACACCGCCACTGTCTTCTATGAACTAGGATGTCGAAGGTCCGGTCCCAGAAAGTTCTAGGATAAAGTCAAAGCGACCAGGCGATACAGTGCAACCGTTTCTCACCTCACCGACCAGATGCTATCGTCCATTCCTTGACGCCTGCCGGGAAGGTTGTGTGCTAGCGTCCATTTCTTGACAAAGCGAGCCTCTTTTCGAGGTTTCGATTTCCACAATGCGAGCCTTGCAATCCGTCGCTTCGTCACTCTGTCGCTTGTTTCGTGAACGATCTAACCGTCGCTGCAGTGCGATTGACTTTCATTTAGCTACAGCAGCTGGTCGTAGCACGTGTAGACTACAAGAGGCCATCCACGGCCGTCCGATCAGTCCCAGGGCGAGTAACTGACGATCTGGGGTTGCGCTTCAGAGGTTCTGAAGGTCCGGTGTGCGACTCAAGCCTGCGATTCAGCCTGCAATTCAGGGATGCTGCGATTCATGCATGCGGTTGTGATTATTCGGACCGCGACTCGACAGCTTCGCGTTCTGAAGGATCCATCTACCATGGTGTAACGCAGTTGTCATCTTTGATAGTATAAATGGCCAGCTATCGGATTGGGTCCTCACCCATCTTCAGTTATTCTTGCGGCTGTACCTCCCACAGCTACTCGTCGCTCTAGCTCGATCTCTCCCACACACTCCGAGTGTGAGTCGCTCTCGTCGGGCAGCACGTCGCCAAGATGTCGCAGGCGTCGCACAAGCTTGTTCGCCCCGTCACCATGCTCGTGCTGCTACTCGGAGCGTCGCTCGCCGTCGCCAGGCCTGCTCGTGCGACGTCGCACGGCTCGCTGGGTCCGATCGATGCGATCTTCGTCTTCGGCGACTCGCTCCTGGACGTGGGGAACAACAACTACGGCCCTGCCGACTGGCCCAAGAATAACTTCGCTCCCTACGGCACTAACTACATCCCCGCGTCGGGCCGCGTGTGCGACGGCAAGCTGACCGTCGATTACCTTGGTAAGTGATGCTTGCAACATCATCATGCTTTTTAAGGAGCGAGTTAACCTAATATCCCGTATTACTACCTTCACCAACATCCCCCCGCTCCCACCGTTTCCACCGTGCAGCGGAGTGGCTGGGATTCCCCGGGTCGCCCCCGCCGTACCTGCAGCCGGGCCGCAATGCGACGCTTGGAGTGAGCTTCGCCAGCGCCGGTGCCAGCTTCAATATCACAGGATACGTGAGTCACATGCTGACATGCTTATGTGCTTATACGCTGTAATTCGGGACCCCGTGCAGCAAATCTTGCCTGCCTGTTATGCATCGCAGCATCACGCAAGCCCCGCATTATTCGCTCCTCCCCTGTGTCCTGCACCCTTTCCCATGCAGACCCTCCCGGCCTTCCAGGCATCGCAGCAGCTGCAGTGGTACAGCAAGCTCCAGGCCGATGTGAACACAGCAGCAGGCACGGACCCGCTCCTCCCCAAGTCCCCAGCCGTCTTCTCCTCTGCGCTGCACATCGTCGGGCTCGGCGCCAACGACTACCGGATCCTTTTTTTCAGCGACCGCGTCAACGAGACCACCTCCCACGGCTTGCTGCTGGGGGCTCGCAGCAAGCTCCGATCTGACTCAGTAAACGCAATCCCCTTCCTTTCCTTCTCCATGGTCCCATGTGTTCTGCACCCTTTCCCTTGCAGACCCTCCCGGCCTTCCAGGCATTGCAGCAGCTGCAGTGGTACAGCAAGCTCCAGGCCGATGTGAACGCAGCGGCAGGAACCGACTCGCTCCTCCCCAAGTCCCCAGCCGTCTTCTCCTCTGCTCTGCACATTGTCGGGCTCGGCGCCAACGACTACCAGATCCTCTTTTTCGGCGACCGCGTCAACGAGACCACCATCCCGAGGCTGGCCGCGGGGGGTTCTCAGCAGGCGGGGGATTTTGCATCCGCGGTGGTAGGCGCGGTTGAGGAGTTTATACGGGCTGGGTGCGCGGCGGTTTTTGCTGTCGGAGCTGCCGCCGTTTGGGTGCGCGCCGCTGTGGCGGCAGGCGCTGCAGCAGGCGGGGTGTGTGGCGGTGCTGAATGGGTACGCTCAGGCGCACAACCGGCTGCTGGCTGCTGCTGTGGGGAGGTTGAGGGAGGAGCTGGTGGGATCGCAGATTCTGCTTGCCAAGGTGTACGGCCTTGTTGAGACTGCTGTTGCTGATCCCGCCACTGTTGGTGAGTTCCATTTCTCTGCTTCTTGTCCGTAGTCCTGCTGTTACTCTCTCGTTTCTCCCTTCAGAGACCTTGTCCATAGTGGCACACAGACTGTCTACCTGGGTGGAGCTGACCCGTCCATCCATGCAGAGTCAACTGTCACCTCACCATACAACTCACAATCGCCCATCGCCCCTCTCTTCGCTCCCTCCCTGCAGGCCTCTGGAGGGCAGCAACGCATGCTGTGGCAGCTTGGAGGCCCTTGGTGTTCATTAAGGCACACAGACCTTTCAACCTGGGTGGAGCTGACCCATCCACACACAGTCCTTTGTCACCAAATGACTCCAACTTGCCCATCGTCATCGTCTCGTTGCTCCCTCCCTCCCCTGCAGGCCTCTTGGAGGACAGCAACGCCTGCTGCGGCGGCCCGCCTCCCCTCAACGGGCTCGTGCAGTGCGGCACCACGGCCAACCTGGGTGGTAACCTGGTAACTGCAACAGAGTGCAGTCGCCCGCAGGACGCGGTGTTCTGGGACCAGTTCCACCCCACCGAGTCCCTCAACCGCATTCTCGCTCGCAACTCGTTTGTAGGCCGCCAGGACTCCATCAACCCCATGAGCGTGCGTGACCTGGCCCAGCTTGCCAGTAAGCAGAAGTGATGGAAAATGGAGTCAAATTGTGATGTAAAATAGTGACATTTTCAATGAAGGTTGAAGGGATTTTATTAGGATGATTAGTGTCTTCTCACCCTGCTAGGGTATGTTCCTGGCTCGTGTCAAACTTCCGGTCAAACTTGTTATGAGTGGTAATGTTTGAGACATTACTGTGCACTCCTAACCTAACCGGAGCTAAGGAAGCATGCAGTATCGAGAACAAATACGAGGAGTCAAAACTGACTCGCAGCGTCAAAACAGTTGGGACGGATGACTGTCGGAGCAGACAACATCGGGCAGCTACAGGCAAGAGAAACTGGCGGGAACAGTTTTCGTAACTGTACGCGCCGCACGGTTGGGAATCAATTTGAATAAGGGAATGTACCCCCTAGACTATATGGCTAGCTAGGTCGATTCGAATTCCCTGCACTCTTATTTATATCGCTGTATTTGCATGTTCTAATAAATCTTTCATTTTACATTCACTCTGCTATTAAGATCAGGGGCCCACCAACACTATCTAACTACGTACGAACCTTCCCGAATACATCCTGGGAGTGATCCCCTTCTGATCGTAGCATGGTATGAGAGCGGCTCGGGAATCTTTCGCACTGCCACTCCCGAAAATTGCGACATTCAGAAAGTAGCGTCCGGCACACGATCGCGTGTGAGAATGGCCGGAGGATCTGGTGATCAGACTAATCTGACGGCTGAAGCGCAAACCAGCCCAGCTGCGACAAGCGAGGGAACGACAACGATCGGTACCGAAGTCCTCGCACAACTCCTTCAGTGACTCACCAGCTTGGAGCAAGGGCTCCAAACATTGCGGAACAACGATGCGGGAACATCCATGCAACCTTCTCAACCGACCCCAACTGGCCAGAATGCCACCCCGCACACTTTCTCCCTCGACACAAATGGTTCAACATCCAAGGCTCCCCGTCCCAGTGAAGAGACAATTCTCTCCGCGCAATCAAGGTTTCTCAGCATATCAAAAATAGAGACAAGTACCTGCTTCGACGGCAGAGACTTCTATACCTGGAGCTTCGAACTGGAGCTCCTGCTGCAGAACGCCCAAATCTTCCATTATTTCGACGGGAGCTACGCGGAACCCGCTGAGGATACCGACGACGCCTGAACTCGCTATTACAACGAGTCACTGATGGCGTACGGAGTCCTCCTATGCAACATGTCGCCGGCGGAGCAGTTAAGCATCCGTTCGTACAAGACATCGACCGCTCCGGCCCTCGACGCTTGGCGCCACCTGAACGGTGTATATCTGTCAAACTATTGACCCACATGTGCTGCATATTGTCTAGGCTGTAGTGGGGTAGCCCATATGGGGTACAACCCAATTAGGGTTTGTTACTTGTACTCCTGCATCCTGTTAGTTCAGTCATTCCTGCTGCTAGATTCTAACATGGTTTCAGAGCACTAAGGTCCGTAGGACCGTTTTTTTTCGGGCCCACCTACCGCTGCGGTTACCGCGCTACCCCACGTACCTGCCTGCCTTGCCTTGCCTTGTGACGTGCTGCACAAGCGCTGCCTCCTGCTGCCCTAGGCCAGCGCGCTGCCCCTAGAGGCCCGTAAAGCCCGCGCGCCGCCTCTACACGCCTGTCAGGCCCGCAACCACGCTGCTACCGCGCGCTGCCCGCACCGAAACGGCGCAGCCCGCACCGAGTCGCGCGCAGCCCTCTGCAGCCACGCGCAGCCCGCACCGAGCCACGCGCAGCCCGCTGCAGCCGCGCGCAGCCTGCACCGAGCCGCGCACAGCCCGCTGCAGCCGCGCACAGCCCGCATCGAGCCGCGCGCAGCTCGCAGCTGCCGCGCGCAGCCCGCGCCGAGCCCACGCAGCCCGCGTCGAGCCGCGCGCGGCCTGCTACGGCCTCGCGAGGCCCGCGCGCGGCCCGCAGCAGCCCGCGCCGAGCCGCGCGCGGCCTGCTACTGCCTCACACGGCCCGCGCGCGGCCCGCAACAGCCCGCGCCGAGCCGCGCGCGGCCGGCTACTACCTAGCGCGGCCGCGCGCGGCCTGCAGCAGCTCCGCGCGCTGTCCGCGCAGCCCGCGCCGAGCCGCGCGCAGCCCTCTGCCTCGGCCCCGACCTGCCGCTGATGCAGCCCCGCCCCGCAGCTGCCACGGCCCCGACCTGCCGCTGATGCGGCCCCGCCCTGCAGCTGCCACGGCCCCGACCTGCCGCTGACGCGGCCCCGCCCTGCTCCTGCCGCTGAAGCGGCCCCGCCCTGCAGCTGCTTCGGCCCTGCTCTTCAGCCGGTGTTGCGGCCCCGATGTCGCCGCTGTCGAGCGCCGGCCATGCTCGCCCGGTGAGCGCCTGCTCTCCCAGCCTTTGGTGAGCGACTGCCTGCCTGCCTGACGGCCTGCCTGCCTGCCTGCCTTCCTGCCTGGCTGCTTGCCTGCCTGCCGGCCTGCCTGCCTGCCGGCCTGCCTGCCTGCCTGTCTGTCTGCCTGCCTGCCTGCCTGCCTGCCTGCCTGCCTGCCTGCCTGCCTGCCGGCCTGCCTGCCTGCCTGCCTGCGTTCCTGCCTGCCTGCCTGCCACGCCTGCCCTGCCCGCGCTAATGATACAGGCAGGTGGTCAGATGCAGCTCCAGCGACGTTCACGCGAGCCTCTCACGCCCCAGCAGCTTAGTGAGTGGTATACTAGCTGGGGTTGTCGCGGTAGCCGTCGTAGCTGTCGCCCTGGGGCTGGTCAGTTGGGAGCGTCTAGCAGTGGCCAGCTGCAGCTGCAGGGGCGTCCACGCGAGACACTTACGCCTCGGCAGCTCCAGGAGTGGTACGCTCAGTGTAGCAGGTCTACACGTACAGTTCGCTGCCCGTACGTCATTCGCACAGGTGCTAGGACTGGTCAGCCTTGTGGGACACTTGGTCACACACAGTCCCGCTGCTTCGCCTGTCTGAGCGACGACTGGCGCACAGTGTTTGGCGACGAGACTGAGCTCCCCACCTGGCTAGAGCTGCATGGACAGGGGGTAGATATCTTTGCGCGTGACTATGATGCTATTCTCACTGCCATGTATGCATTGTCTACTAGTGCTGACCGTGCCTGTTGCCTGTGCGTACCGCCTGACCCTGGTGAGGCTGCTGCCCTAGGTGCTAGTGCGTCTCCTGCTCTAGGTGCTGGTGAGGCTACTGCTCTAGGTACTGGTGAGGCCGTGGCTTCAGGTGCTGCTGTGTCTGCTCTCTCTGGTACTGCGCCCACTGCGGTCTCGCACACCTTCACCCTTGACTCAGGAGCTTCCCGCTCCTTCTTTCGCGACTGCACCGCACTCACGCCGCTCCGTCGGCCAGTCCCGGTCTCCCTGGCGGACCCCTCTGGGGGTCCACTCCTTGCCCACTATTCCACGGTTCTGCCGTGTCCGGCCGTCCCGTCCGGCTCGCTGTCAGGTCTTTACCTCCCCTCGTTCTCTACGAACTTGGTGAGTGGAGCTGACCTCCAGGATGGGGGGGTTCACCAGTTCACTCCTGGAGTCAGCGAGTGACTCACTGTACGTGTGCTAGGACGGGCCGGCACTTGGCCACGTTCACCCGTGCACCTGGCTCGAGTCTGTACACACTGACCACTGAGTCCCCTCAGGTAGCTGCGTCTGCGTCTGCGTCTGCGTCTGCGTCTGGTCAGCTGGCGGCCCCTTGCGAGTGTCGCGCTTTGTCACACGACACTCTCCTGTGGCACCACCGCCTTGGTCACCCCTCCTTGCCTCGCCTGCGTAGCATGCACTCTCGCTCCCTGGTCTCTGGTCTCCCCAGGTCTCTGCCTGCCCTCCCTCCCTCGCCTGCGCCGCCCTGCATTCCTTGCGTCGAGGGGCGGCAACGCGCTGCTCCTCACTCCTCCTCGTTTCCTCCCACAGAGGCTCCACTGCAGACGCTCCATCTGGACGTGTGGGGCCCAGCCCGCGTCCAGGGACAGGGCCACGAGCGGTACTTCCTGCTGGTTGTCGACGACTACACGCGTTACACCACGGTCTTCCCCTTGCGCAGCAAGGGAGACGTCCCTGCTGTTTTGATCCCCTGGATCCGCGCTGTTCGTCTCCAACTCCGCGAGCGGTTCCGGTCGGACTTTCCTGTCCTGCGTCTGCACTCTGACAGAGGTGGTGAGTTCTCCTCCGACCTCTTGGCAGCCTACAGTGCGGAGCACGGCATCACCCAGTCGTTCACGCTTCCGGCCTCTCCGCAGCAGAATGGGGTTGCTGAGCGCAGCATTGGCTTAGTCATGGAGGTCGCTCGTACCTCCATGATCCATGCGGCTGCCCCCCATTTTCTGTGGCCGTTTGCGGTCCGGTACGCCGCGCATCAGCTCAACCTTTGGCCCCGTGTCTCCTTGCCGGAGACCTCGCCCACACTGCTGTGGACGGGGAAGGTTGGCGATGCGTCGCGTTTCCGGGTCTGGGGTGCTCGTGCCTTTGTCCGCGATACCACCGCGGACAAGCTCTCCGCCCGCGCTGTTCCCTGTGTCTTCCTTGGCTTTGTCCCTGACGCGCCTGGTTGGCAGTTTTACCACCCCGCCTCGCGCCGTGTCTTTGCGTCTCAGGACGTCACGTTCGACGAGTCGGTTCCCTTTTACCGTCTCTTCCCCTACCGCACTGCCTTGCTCCCCCCCCCGCCGCTCTTCCTCGCTCCAGGTGCTCCCCAGGTAGACCCCCTCTCCGCTCCCGGTCCTGCTCCTTCAGGTGTTTCTCAGGTAGACCCTCCTCCCTTGACTGCGCCGGTTGAGGTCACTGGTGACTCAGGTCCTACTGAGAGTGGTCCTGCTCGGGGTACTACTTCTGGGGGTGCTGAGCCTGGGGGTGCGGAGCCTGAGGGTGCTGAGCCTGGGGGTACTGAGCCTGAGGGTGCGGAGCTTGAGGGTGTGGAGCCTGGTGGTGCTGAGCCTGAGTGTGAGGGGTCTGGGGGTGCTGAGCTTGGCGGTACTGACGCTGGAGGTTCTGGAGCTACTGAGGGTGGTGGCGCTGGAGGTTCGGGAGCTGCTGGAGGGCCTAGTACTGGTGGCGCTGGAGC